GGGGGGGGGGGGGGGGGAACCAGCAGATGAAAGTGTGGAACTTGATGATGGGTGTGTAGCTATGTAACAGTACAGTATTTGTGGCATGCAGCAAGCCCAGACATTCATACGCTACCCTCTGCTCTTGGGTGGAAACGAACGTTTGGAAGCCGGGGGCGACCCCGAAGCCCAGCTCATGGAGGAAAGGAGGCTCTGACTGAGTGTGAAGTTGTACCTTTATGCCGGCCTCATAGGACGTCTCATCTAGGGCGAGGGGTGAGGGAACACAGCCCACATCATTATAAAAATAATAAGAGGAGCAACAGCAAGGTAAGGGACGGAGTGGCCGACCTCTCAGCAGAGAAACACGGCTTGTTGTCAGTGTAACAACACAACAGCTACAACTCCCAGGGATGCGTGAAAACCTTGCATCATCGGTGCACTGGTGGGTTGTCATTCAGCCATTCTCTTTTTACATCCACTCAAGCTTGAGTGAGGACACAGCTCAGTTTCAACCAGAACATAATTCTAGTCCAAAATTTGGTGGTGTGGTCTTCATAGTTCTCTGAGCTCACAAGTCATAGCCTCTATTAAAAATTAAATTCCTCTGACAGAAGCTTAACAAATGAAAAGTCTTGAAATCATAAGTGCTTCAGCCAGCTGTCTATTATTACACTGAGAGAAGTGTCACTTTACTTGTTGGAGACTGACTGAAATTAATGCTGGCCAGACTTTAATGACAGTCTAATTAATTCAGCACATCTTTTAGGTCGTAAACACGTCTTTTAGCTGTCACTGGTGTGGGCGATCGTGTCATGATTATAAATGACAATCCGTGCACTTTTGCTTTCAGGAGGAAACTTTGCGACGATGATTAATATATTGGATTTACTTTTTGGAGATGGCTGAATGATGATACACTTTACACTTCAGCATTTTACAACACTCGTATGGAGAAAGAGAAAGAGAGTGAGACACAGATATTACATGTTTCAAAACTGCTTCCAGAAAATAACATTTGTCATCTTTGTGGTGTCCAAGTGTCTGTTTTTAGAAGACCAAACCCTGCCTCATTCATCCCATGTTATTCTGCTAAAACAAGGGCAGACAAGTTTATGTGATCATTTATCTCATGCTTATGAACTGACCAAGACCATTAACTTTAGGAGCAAAATCATTTTAATTAGGCTCGATTAATTGCCAAAATAATTAATTTGATTAGTTGCTAGAGTATCCATTACTTCAAGACTTCACAAGGACTGATTATGTGGTAGACATTTTAATGAGCCTGCAGCATAATACAAAAAAACACTTGATCTCAAAGGTAATCACTGCAAAAACCTAAAATCCTTTGTGGCACAGGCGCCATTTTCTTGTGACTTACAATGAGGGTTTTTCTGTTTGCCAGAGGATATTTCTCTATTCTGTCACTGTTTCCGTTTGGAAATCAAAAGACTGGTGTTTGGCTGGTGCGCCATTCTAGTGTAGACAAAAGAATCTGAATTTGTTGTCCTAGCAACGTCACATAACTGCGATACAGTTTCATTAGATCTGAATAGGAAATCCATGTGAGCTCAGCTTTATGACCTTGCACACAGGCTTTACGATCAATTCTGGATTAACTATAGTGACTACTCTTCATCCTTCACTGATGGCAGAAGGGATAGTTGAGGACTACTTACTAATTTTCTATAGTCAACAAACCTTTCTGCTTCCTTTAAAGCATCTTTCTCATCTTTCTCAACTAATGAGAAAAGTGTTAATGGAATTGGGAAATAAACTTATATGATAGGTGCACAGGCTTCTTTCTGTAGTTTTAATTTAACATCAAAAACATGAGGATCATTTTAATATCTTTCCCTCAAGATACAGTCAGTCTTCAGAGGTCAGTTATTTATAGTGAGTCTTTAAAGCAGTCTGGCTAAACACTGCTGCCAATAGACCCTTTTAGCAAAGAATCAAATCAATGAGAAAAATCATTCATAATGTTAAATATTACTTTAACAATTTCTTTAAAGCGTGCTAATTATAAGAGATTGTACATTCCCTCTTCAAACACTTTAAATTTGGTTTATTTTTTATTAATTAGAGTTAATGTTCTGATCATTAAAGCCTGCTAATGGCTGTGTGAATTTTGAAGTCTTCCTCACAGTTTTTCTCTGCCTTCTTTTTAAATGTGCCACTAGAGACATTTTTCACAGCATTCAAATAAGCTGTATTTATATTTCTTTTTTCATGCTAAAAGTAGTGAAGACTCAATATGAAAACTAAAACAAACAGTGAGCTGCCAGATATTTTGCATGCTGTGTAGTCTGAGGTTCCCTTGGCTCAGATAAGCACAGTATGCCTGTATGCTTTCATCCAATCATTACTTGGCCCTGCTCTATCAATACTCCTTGGCTGCTATTTTTTCTCTGTTTCATGTACCCAGAAAAAGTGGGTGTATAACACCTTAACTGCATATTTCCCTCACAAGGCAATTCAAAGATCTGATTTTGCTCCAGGCTCTGTGACAGAGGTAATGGGCACTGGCTGGGGAAGATTTGGGGACAAACACAGAATGAAGCAGTGCAAAAAAGACTGAGGTTGGAGGGGAGGAGGCTGAACATTAGGTACCAGTTGCTGCTGACATGACACAAAAGTTTGAAAACCAGGGGCCACACCAAATCCCAGTTGGTCAATGAAGGGTGGCTCGTCCTGGCTGTGGATCTGAACCTTGATGCCTGCTTCGTAGGAGGTCTCATCTGTGGATACAGCACGCCAGAAAATGTAACAACAAGTACCGTCGCTTATGGAAACCCGCCTTTTAGCTCTGGTACTGATACTAAGTGCCCCTAAACCCCATGCTGAAAGCTAATATCAGCGAGATACTCACATGTTAGTGTGTGGAACCGCTATTAAACAGATTTACAACAAACTATTTATTACATGCTGTATACTTTATGAATGTATGGTTCAGAAGCGTTGCTGTCTGCCATAAATTGAAGACACTATGTCAGTGGATGCAATTTATTAAACCTGATGTTAGTTGTAGAACTGGAGAAACATATCAAGATAATATTCTATTAAACAAGCTAGTGCATCACTTCTGTGTAGCTCAAATTCTGCAGACATGTAGCAGTGAAGTGAATGAGAAAATCTTGTTATCTATGCCAAGTGATATATCCACATGCGATAGGAATGACAAAGGACTAGAAGAGAGATTTCCAGAGTAACCCAACAAGATGGAGGGCTTTTCACAAAAGGGTTCTACAAGTTAAAATGCCACCATCAATGTCAGAAAAAGCTGCACTGACCTGTCTCTCCCCAAACAGGCAGGTATTCATCCTGCTGAATATCCAACATGATCTCCAAGCCGTTCCCTGTGCCACCTTTTAACGTTGTCAACAATGGGTTGCCATCTAATCCCGAGTTGAATGTGTAGCATTTTCCGTAGCGTGTGTAAATCTGTAAAAAAGAACAAAGAAAAAAGAGAGAGGGAGACAGAAAAAAAAAAAACAGGAGCGTAAATGAAAAGTCAAACCCTTCCCACTGTGCAGTGGTAAATTGTGCACCTGAACCTGGTGTATTACATGTTAGCCTATAATTGTGCAGGACAGCTAATCATTGCAGAGGTTTTGTGATTATCAGAGAGAGCACTACCGGCTTTAAACAGGCACCTGGCTCTGATTTGAGAAATTAATGAGCTTCCCTTAGCAGCAGTAGCAGTAGCTATCAATCTTTACCCAATTTCACTCCAAAATTTCCCCTGAGTAACTTAGAGTGAATGTACTAGTTTGCCGTCATTAAATAAAAAACATCTGAGGTGGAAGCTCTCTGGACACACAAACAATCTCTAAATTGCATTTGTTAAAGACATTTGTGTGTCTCGACTTACAAACCTGTGCCAGTAAAGCTCAGTGGTACTTAACGTTTGATGTGCAATTGCTACAGTAGGTTTGCTCACACCAAATATCTTTCAGATTTAATTAATCCAGTTGGCTTGAGTTATTTATTTTCAGCTTTTGCTTCAGCACTCATAGTTGACAGATTTTATTTTTGAGTTTATGGATTCTCTCTGTGATTGGAAAATCCTCTATCCTTTGCCAAACAAGTAAAAGTAAATCTGCATCAAGATGAGCCATTAGAAGCACTAGAAAATTAGAAATGGTGACATTTTAAATTCAGGCTGCAGCGTGAATAAAGACTAAGAAAGCCTAAAATTCTGAATACAGCTTGAGGGATTGAGTAAATTCAAGATAAGTCATCAATATTGACATAAGACTATACAACTATAGAATTGATTGCTTATGCAACACTGAGGAACTACAATATCTATTCTTCATGCAGTTCAATGCAATATAAAAACCTGCAGCCTTAAGAACCTTTACAAACAGCTTAAACCTTGGACACAAGTTCATCAAATTACATAGACATGTAATGTCTATGCAACATGTTTGTGTTCCCAGCAAACAACTACATATTTTAAATGGGGTGAGTGTGAATAAGACGTTACTGAATATCTAATGTTGTAAATAAATACCGCTAAATTTATAGCACTGAAATATTTTCAGAAAACAACCCCCCCCCCCCAAAACTAACTAACAACAACAACAACAACCTATATTAAAGTTGTTTAAAGTCAATTAGACACCAAAATTCAGTAAGACTAATTTACATCTGAGATATCAACCCTGAATTATCTTCTGGAAATTTGGGCAAGGGGAATTCAAACCACATAAATTGAGATAGTTGTTTTTTGTTCAAGTTAAAAATTTCAATGGAATAAATTCAGTGGTAATTTCAACATGAATTATCCATGGTTAATTGTCAAAATTAGCTATTCCCTTGCTCATTAAAATTATTCAGACTTTTTTTGCTTTCATATAAAACCCCTACAGTAATTCTAATTGGTACATTGAGCCACACTTCCTACATTAATAATCATGGTTGTCCAAATATCCTTACTTGGCAAAGAGAAAGAGGTCATACTGTAGATATACTATAGCACTGTGACAAAACAGCCTGGCAGCTGGGATATTTTTGCTGGCTTCCTCAACAGTGTGGCTGTCTGTATCGATCCTCACCACATTCCTAAACAACAAGTAACGCCGGGAAGGAAAGGGATGTCATCTGATGCTTAATTTTCACAACTCAGTGTGGTGAGGTCATGGTAAGAGGGCTGCTGGCAAAAACTCAACCAGCATGGCAAAGCTGTTCTCAAGAGATCAGAGTCAGTGTTCCATGCCCAGACTCAGAGAGACTTACATGCAGCTCAGACAGATAAGACAGCTCTTTGGTCCTTTCCACCTGCTGGCTATATAATGAGGTCTGGAAAGTAACTAGAAACCTGTTTTTAAAGATTCAGATTTAAGTTTAGATAAGACAGGAGCTTCTGTGCAGTCACACCACAGCCATACCATGTGTTGCTTAAGAAGCGAGCGCACAGCACAGTTTAAATCCAAATTATGACCCCCAAACTGGCTGTGAAGAGTGTGGAGGCTCTGCACTAGTTTGTGCAAAACGGGGAAGCCACCATGGACAGCTGACATCTTGTAGTGAGCAGGACTTTGCATTTAAAACTGCCTCAAGACAAGTTTAAGTTGTCACAGCTACATTTATTTCTGAATGCAATGTAGATGCCAGTGACAGGTCAGTGTTTTAAATCTACAAGCATGTTCCCAGATTGAAATGATTCACAGTGCTGTATACATAAATGAGTCACTCTGCATGCATACTTCTCACTGCAGAAGTTTCTCCGTTTAGCCCCTTAAATATTATCTGACGTCATAAGCTGTCAGTTTGTATTGAAAGTATTTGATAGAAAGACTACCATTCAGAATGGTGCGACTATGGTTTGCAAATGTCATCCACTTCCTCCAAGCAGTATTCAGTTCTTACTCACAAATGTATGGGTGTAATAGACTTACGTTTGGTGTTTTAAATGGGAAACTCAGCTGCACACCATATACTCACACATGCCCTCCAGATGTTTAATTAGAGAAGCTAAAATTTTAATTTGAACTGATTACCAGGGTCTGAATTATTAATTCTCTAATTTTTCTTCCTTAATATTGTTGTCACAGGTTATAAAGCTAACTCAAGAACTTGACAGGGTGAATATAACCGAATGAGTAACTGTAAAGAAAAAAGCTGTAAAGAAGACAATAAGGTAACTGATGATGACATGACATTGATTTTCCACCGCAACATGAAGGTAACATTGTATTTGTTTCCTTGAGTGACTTTTTGAAGACATCAAGTTTAATAAGGGTAAAGCTGTCATGTCTGAGAAGTAGAAACAGGACAGGCTTGTTTGCAGCTTTGAAACATCAACACTTTATAACACCCAGAGAGAATGGCTGCTGGAGGGTGCGTCGTCAAATGCTGACATGAATTATTAATACACCTTGCAAACAACATTCAAATCCACACCTGACAAACACCATCTTTCTTTCTGTACGTACAGTGCTGAAGTTTTTGTAGGTGCAAGTTTCCCCACGGAACCTGCACTCCAGCAGCATGTCCTCCAACTGGTGACCGAGGCGTCCCATCATCTCGGTGGTGTTGATGCGGTAATCAGGGTGCGGATTGTAGTTGTTGAAGTCCAGCAGGCTCAGGAGACCCTGCTTGGGGCTGTCTTTAAGGATGGACAGGCTCCTCTCCATCACTGTGTGATTAGGATACATGAGGTCCATCCAGTAGCCGCTGTGATACAAGTCATCCTTGGTCAGAGTGGATACACGGAACACATTTTTATTACAGAAAGTAACAGCTGGGAAAGACATGTTGTGAGCCCACACCATGTAGATCTTCGTGATAGCAGGGTAGGACATCAGGTAGAGGATTCGATTCCCGGACCAGGTGATTAGGAGACTGACACAAACAAAGAAGGCCATGATCCAGATGACTCGCTGCGGTTTCGACTTGTCCGGCGAGAAGACAAACTTCAAACCATGGATCTTAGTCTTCATTATGAAACCCACTGTGATCTCTTTCCACGTTGGTTTAAGCGAGCTGGACTCAATGTTCTGGAGAGTAGTCTCTTGGGCATCATTTTGTCTGTGTGGCCCCAGGGCGACTGATTCGGTTGTGGGTGCTTCAACCATAATTGCTTGTGTCAAGGCAGGCGTTCTTCACCAAATGTTATTTCTTAGTATCCCACCCTGGACATCTCCAATTTACACACAGTGGCTTTTTCCACAACCATCTCCAGGTTTATGTATCACAAATTCCAGGTAGCAGCGACTTGAGTCCTACTGTGCAGCTGTCCCACTGTTCAGGCTTGAAATTTCTTTACCGTGAAGATATAAACAAAAAGGAAGTGAGCTCCTTGGGGGAGGTAAAATTGATTTACATAATGATTCCTTTATGAGAAAAACAGCTGAATCACTCCATTAACAAAAAACATCAAGCGTAACCATCAACAGTCCTTCATCAATAGATAAATGGACGTGATAATTGCAAACGTAGGCGACGACTTCACTCCCAGAGGCAATCACTTTGAAAATCCGGAGAGGCTTACCCCTGTTGCTCAGATCTTTCACTCCTCCATCTCCCTCTCCAGTGCCAGACAATACTTGCAGATTTCGGTGGTTTCTCTCTTTGTGCCGTAGCTGCCCAGAACCCAACTCCTCCCTTTTTCCACAGATTGAAGAGATGCTTTTTAGTCTGTTGACTTGCAGCCTGCAGAAAGGAATATAAGGCTTGTTGCCCCCCTACACACTCTCTCTACAGTCGAATGGAGAATGAGGTGGAGCCAGTGGATGAAATTGTTTTCCTCCGGTGATGAAGTAGACCTCCAATGGTAAAGAGAGGCGGGGGGAAGGTATCAATCAAAGTAGAAATAATTGTGATGAAGAAATTCTGCAATGATGAAGTCTGGAATTCTTTAATAGTGAAGAATCTGCAGCTTGCTCGTGGATCAATATATCTATATAATTGATAACTGAAGGGAGCCAGCTATTTGGAGAAAAATACTGCAAAATCCCTTTCAAAATGTGTTAGAAATATCGGTTACGGCACCTTTTCTAGTTCTTCTTTTCTGTCAGTATCAAATATAATTTCACAAATGCAGTGTAATGAGGGCTGACATCCTGCTGCATGTAGATGTGGCTCTGGCTGATATTAAAGGTGCTTTGCTCCGTTTATGTGAGACTCAGTGGATTCTGTTTGGCAGAAAGCTCAGCTTCATACTGAGACTATTTTTTTTTTATTATGTTAGCTGGAATCTTTTCAGTCTGTAATGTGAGTATTGGCTGAGTAACCTGATCACAGCTGTGGCAATATATGGTTGTAAAAAAAAAATAGCTTTAAATATTAGATTGCTCATGTACTTGGAGGAGAGGGTATCATTTACAAGTTCAGATGGAATGAACGGGACTAAAATAATTGGATTCGACATAGTTTAAATATAAGAAAAGGGTGGAAATGGGCATCTCTGGGTCCCTGTCTTACTGACTGGAGTG